AAAAAAAAAAAAAAAAAAGCCTGAAAGCGGTAAAGCCCCGCAAAACACCCGACTGAGTAGAAGATTCGTGTCTTAGGGCTCGGGGTTTAGGATACCTTTTTGAAAGTATCGGTAGTCTTTGTGTAAAAAGCCTAACCCTTGTAAGACTCTTTCACCCCCCTTGGGATGACCACTTAGGGTGCAGGATCTGTCACATTTCGGTTACGGATGAAGCGCCATTCACGGTTCCGAAGCTCAAGATCTAAAAATCTAGATTCCCCAGTGGTTACTACCCTGTCGCCGGTTTGATTTAAGGGCTCCCCTTATTAAAACTAAGTACTAGGAGAGCGGGTGGCAGTATCTACTTCGAGACCTCCCTCCTCTAAGGGTCCAAGTACCTAATAATCATATATACTCTTCTGAATACTAACCGACAAAACTACTATCCGTAACCCAAGTACATGATTATTGGGTCCTTCGGACCCTTACGGTTGGGGTTTATAGGGTCTAGGGTTTAGGACGGGAGCCTACTTACCCCTGAAGCCTGCACTCTAAGCACTCTAAACCCTAAAGCCTAAATCTCGAGCCTGAGCCCTCAACTCTAAACCTAAAGCGCAAACCGGTTTAGGGTTTAGGGTTTTGGGTTTTGGGTTTAGGGTTTAGGGGTTGTTTGGGGTTTAGGGTTTAGGGTGTTGCTTATTAACTTAGAACCCTGAAGCACATGAGGAGGCGGATGCCACCTGTTTGGTGAATGTGGCCAACTTGATTACCGTCTTCGATTTCGTGGGAGCTCTTATTGCCCTGCACTCCGGCTCATAGCAATGCGTGGTAGGCCGTTTTTTTAGGGTTTCGGGATTAGGGAGTAGGGTTTAGTTTAGGGATTAGGGTGTATGGTTTAGGGTTCAGGGTTCAGGGATTAGGGGTTTAGGGTAGGCCTTAAGGTAGGGGTTCTTCTTGGTGGATACGATGGATACGAAAGAAACAGTGGACTCTTTGGGATTGTTGGTTGGTGTATATCCCGGATGCTGCGAGACAAGTAGTATACGAGAGAGAATATAAACACGACAAACACACACCGCCAGGGCGCAATGTGCTGCAATAAGCCCTAAACCCTAAGCCCTAAACCCTAGTAATAAGAACTGGCCAACCCTTTAGATGCACAGCCCGCAAGGCACAACTGGGTCTTGTAGCCAATGGAGATAGATGGATGGATAGATAGATAGGTAGATAGATAGATAGCTAGTAATATATAGATAGGTAGATAACTAGATAGATAGGTTGACAGATAGTAGATAGGTAGAGAAAGACAGATCGATAATGCTTCGCCAAGAGCTGGCGCAGCTTGCCTAGGCCCCTACGAGACACCCCAAACCGGGTATGGATTGGATAATGTTTAGCTTCCCTTTGTTACACTGGAGAACCCTTACTATCATAAATAGTTTGTTGTAGCTTCCCTTTTTTTGCCATGGAGACTCCTTGCTATAAATAAGTTTGGGTGTTCGTGGAATGGACACCTGGGACAGATTACTACCATTACGTACATCGCCTCACCGCAGCCGTAGACAAGCATTGTAAGCAACAGTCTGCAATTCCTTGCACCTAGTCGCCTAGCTGCTGAAAAGCCAACCTTGAACCCTGCTGCACTTGCTCGACAGGCTGACCGATACCCGAAATGTCCAAGCAAACGACTATACACTCCCTACACTTCACCCCAGCCTAAAAACGAAGTACTTGAAGCTGACGTACTCTGGACTCTTACGATTACAGACCAGCGAATTCGATTGCTTAGACTCCAAGGATCAGGGATCCTAATTAGTCATAGCAGCCCATAGGCTGCAAATATAGCTTCAAGTTTGGCTTCAAGTGCATTGACTAAGTAGGGGGTTGTGTTGATGTTAGTTTGATGCCGCACTTAAGTCGAGTTTAAGAGTCTTCATAGTGCTCCGTACAGTTTAGGCTTTGTTGATTGGAGGTTTCCAAGTCTTCAGGCCATTTCAAAGACCCTAAGCGTGAACGGGCGAAGGCTTTCAGCTACAACGCTTCACTCTAAATTCCGCACGGGCCCCAAACCCTAAGCCCAAACCCCTGAGCCCTAAAACCTGAAGCCCTAGACACGCCAAGACCCACCCCAAACCCCTAAACCCTTGAACCCTGAACCCCTGAAGTCCTCCACCCCAAACCCTAAACCCTAAACCCCTAAACCCCTAAACCCCTAAACCGCTAAACCCCTAAACCCCTAAACCGCTAAACCTCTAAACCCTAAACCCCAAATCCCTTAACCCTATAAACCCTAAACC